CGGCCCCGCCCCCGAGGCGGCTCGGCGATGTTCGGCCCTTTCCGCCCGCCCGTGGAGTACCGCCCCGGAGCCTTCGGAAGTTCTCGGCCTCGGGCCGTCCGCCGAGCCCCGGCCTGTCCGCCGAAGCTTCCGAGACTGCGCGGCTGCTTTCCGGGCGGGCCCAGTTCGCGAGGCCGGAGTCGGTTTCCCCGCGGCTTCTCTCCGGCGGAGCCCACTCGGCGCCGGGCTGGGTGCCCCGTAAACAGTGGTTTTATGAATGAACGTGTGAAGACAGGAATGATTGCAGCCTGGGCCCGCTGTCCTCAGATGCTTCCGGCCACCTTCGTCCGGGAGCCGCGTTCCTCTGCCCGCGCACGCGGGGTCGGGCCTGCTCGAACCCTGAAGCCAGCCCCGAGGCCATCCTTGCCACCCCTAATCTTTTCGTGCCCTCCTGAAATAAACCCTCGCGAGTCTGGGGAGCACCTGGCTGGAGCCTTCTCGCGGACGGCACCCCGGGGCGCGGGGGCTTCCCCTAGGAGCCAGTCGCTGGCAGGAAGAGAGACGCCCGAGACTGCTCCCGGCTCCCTTTGGGGGTCGCCTGCCACTGCTCTCGGCTCCCTTTGGGGGGTCCCCGCCTGCTCGCCCAGCTCTCCCATGCCGCCTCCCTCCGAGTGCTTCCCGCCTCCCGCGCCCCCTGCCCGGCCTCATAAGCTCCCCGGAAGTGTATTTTCTGTCGTGGGTCGTCCTTAAAGACCAGGAGTTTCTCTGCTCCTCGGCCTCACCTGCGCGGGGTGCCTCAGGAGAGTCGCCCCAAAGCTGTGACTGGCTGTGCCCCTGACCTGCGATCACCTCTGGGGACTCCCTGAGGGCAGAGGCCCTGCCTGGCGCCACCTGTGCCCACCGGCTCCACCGCCCTGCGAGCTGGGGCTGTGCTGCCTACCGCCTTTAGGCGCTCCCTCCGCATCCCAGGGTGGTGCTTCCCTGGGAGGCCGACCCAGCCAGGGCCCCAGGACAGGGCACTGCGTGAAAGCGCCTTCCCTCCATGGGAGCCCAGCCTTCATTTCCTGCGTCCCAGAGCTCCTTGGGGTCCACGGGCCTATTCTGATCTTTGCTTCCGCCCCACCTCGGGGACTGTCGCGCAGGAGGCCTTGGGAGGCAGAAACAACGCCCGGCCGCCAATGTCCTGCGCTGCCACCATCGACGCACCCAATGCAGACCAGTTGTTGCCTCGCACTCCCAAGGGGACAGGGCCCCAGGCCACCCCTATCTGCGTGCAGCCAGGCCTCTGAGGGGCAAGCCCTGCACAGAAAGCACGGCCAGGGCGCCCCGAACCGGCGGGTCCGCGCCCAGTCCAGCTCAGGTGACCAAGCTGGCGCCGGGCATACCTGGCGCCGTCCCATGACCCCGCCCCGGGCCGGCCGCACCCTGCAACGCTCCCTCTCTCGGCGCCGG